ATTATATATTATGTCAGTGAGATATTCTACAGATGATACAGCAACATTACAACATTGTTGCTGGAATGATGTCTATGACAATCAACTGATTATTTTGTCTGTATTATTATGTCTGTTTTTGTTGCAAACTGTACGTCATGCGGGAAAAATGGGTTTTCACTCTGAATCTTTAGATGAGCTGCAGCCGAGCCAAGCTGCTCACGCGGGCAGTGTGGTCCAGGTGTTAGTGTAGCTCTGATGCATGAGGCTTCTGCTGTTCATGCAAACAGCCTTTCACATACACTTCAGCTCTGTAAGTCGTCACCATAATTGTTGTGATGAAAAGAGCGTAGTCCAAGATAAGCATTTACAGGGGAGGCTATATGTACACATTCACATGCAGAGCATGATGAAATCATGTGTGGCCAACATTATTACTAACTGTCCACATTGCTTCATTCCCCAAGGGATAGTTTGGATCTTTTGAAGTGGGGTTGTATGTGGTACTTATCCTTAGTTAGTGTATTGCATTCAGCTGCCACGCTACCTTTTTGGAGAAGCTGACTGTACACATAACAAAACCAAGGTCAGTTTAAAGTGTGCTGTATTTTGAGTATTTTCACTGCTTTACCTGGCTGTCAGACTGCAATTTCCAGGGGGGAACCGTGCTTTATATGGTTCTCCTCAAAGCCAGCCTCCATTGAGAAAAACAGCAGTTCAACATTGTTGAACACAGGAGCTGCTGGTCTATGCCTGCCTTGATTAGTTTGTTTGTTGTTTGTGTTATTGTGTGATTTTGGCATTTAAAAGGACAAGTTGAGATTCACCAAAGTCACATAATAACACGAACACAGTAACTGATTCAGGCAATTGTAGCAACTTCCATGTTTTGCAAGCCAAAAATACTGGTTTTGTCAATGGAGTCTGGTGGCTTTGACAAGAGCATAGATGGGGAGCTGAGGTTGTCAACACCCTCCTCCTCAGAACGGGCTGTCTGACAGAAAGGTAAAGCGGTGTAAATATTCTAAATATAGCGTACACTTAAACTGATATTGATTTTCTTTGAGGTGACTAAAATATGTTTTTCTGCTGCCTAAGGCAGTTTGTCCACATATAAATGGTTACTGAGTAGCAGGTGGCACCATGTACAGTAGCCTCGGCCACCAGTGTGTGACTGTGTGTGAGAATGGATGAATGTAACATGCAGTGTAAACAGCACTTTGATTGGTCTAAAGACTAGAAAAGCTCTATACAAGTGCAGTCCATTTACCATTTACCATTTGCTGCCTCAATCTACAGCAGTACATTACTTAGCTTTGGTGTTGCTACTCCTGTTGCTCAAACTGGTAGCGTGACAAGCAACATCTAATGTATGTAATGTACTGACTATGGATAAGTACTGCATACATCCCCACTTAAAAGATCCAAACTATCCCTTTAAGACTGCATGATATCTGAAATATAATAAGAGAAATGCTGTCATTTTACATCGTCCCCCGTCCACATGAAGTAGAATCAACCAACAGTAGTAACCCTGTATGTCTACATGTAGATGCTAAATTATAAAGAATAATCTTACATTGTATGAAGTACAGTTGTTCCTGACCAGCTGTCTTGGTCCCAACAGGATCCCAAGGAGCGGCTGGGTTGCCAGGTCCAGACGGGCTTCACAGATATCAAGTCACACACATTTTTCCGAAGTATAGACTGGGACCAGGTAAGAGCACCATGAGTGAGGCAAGAAAAACATATCATGCTATAATTCATTAAATTGCAGTTTATATCATCCATGTCAGTGATCACTTCCAACACAAAATTTCCAACAAAATATACATTATTATCTTTCAAATTACACACATTCAATGGCCACAGCATGGCATTTTTTGTTTTATTTTTATTTAATCAGTCAGTGTCTCTAACAGTAAGATCTCTTTTCCAAGTGAGACCTGAGAACATGAAACATTTAAAGGAACACAATGAACTAAACAGAAACAACACGTATATACATATATATGTATATATATATATATATATGTGTGTGTGTGTGTATATATAATATGTACGAATGAATGCGTGTTTACAAAACCATCTATTTCTTCTCTTAGATGTTGGCTAAATTAAAATGATTTTGTTGAATCAAGCTGACATTTAATTTTTAATTTTTATATACTTTATTAATCCCCGAGGGGAAATTCAATTTTTTTCACTGTTGTTGTCAATTACACACAGGTCTGAACACACACATGCACAAACAGGATCTATACATGCACTAAGTGGAGAGATGTCAGAGGGAGGGGGCTGCCTACGACAGGCGCCCCGAGCGGTTGGGGGGGGGGGGGTTTCGGTGCCTTGCTCAAGGGCACCTCAGCAGTGCCCAGGAGGTGAACTGGCATCTCTCCAGCCACCAGTCCACGCTCCATATTTGGTCCGGGCGGGCACTTGAACAGTCCCCAAGTCCCTAAGGACTGAGCTACTGCCGCCCCATTTAAGCTGCTTGCCTCCAGCTGAGCCCACATAGTGAACGGTATTTAGTGAGCATGTGAGTTAATCCAGCCTCTGAAGGATGAGCCACTCTGCAGTGGAGAGCGCAGGTAGCTTCAATGATGATCAGTGAAGAACGTCAGAGAGTGATCTGATCTCTATATGTTTTCTTGAATTGAATAATACTTGAGCAACCTTACTGATCATTATCCTGACAATGTTTATATCAGGATTTAAAGATTTAAAGCATTTCACTGATTACTGTGTTAATTTTGACAGCTACTTTAGATTTGGTCTTAGTCCTGAGACAAAAATACTTATCAGTTTAAGTCACATTTTAGTCATTTTTTTTCTCCATAGTTTGGGTAACTTTTAGTCATTACGTTTTCTATATATGTTTTTATCTTTAAACTAATCCAGTTAGACTAATTCTTGTATTCAAAATTAGAACTAAGGTGACAGGCTGTATAAAAAATTCACTGAGACAATTTCTTCTACAACAACAAATTATTTCTCTCCAGCAGTTTTTGACAGGTTTAAGGGAAGAGTTAAGAGCACACATTTTCTGATCATCTTTTGAAAAGCTCAACATCTGTCTATTTATGCTCTCAAAAACTTTGACACCACAAATAACAAATCTGAAACTAGGATTTGCACCCAGGTTCATTGTGAAATAACTTATTTAAAGCCTGAATTCTTCCTTAATCTGCAACATGTTAGTCTGGAGGTTTAAACTTGTGTCCTCTCACATTAAAACCAAACTTTCGTCTGTCAGAGAAAACTGATCTGAGTTCAGACTGTTTACTTAGAGCACAGCTACACTTACAGATAGCTGAGCCTCCTAACTGCCTGTCAAACAGCATCAGCCCATAAAACTTCTTGACTTCAGATCTGAGTGGAGTCCTGCGGGGATCAGCTGTTAAGTATGTCCAGCGGCCGGTTGCTGCTTGCTCCACTGCTGTTTAGTGGCTAGCTAAAACATCCTGGGGAAGACTATTCACTGGAGTTTACTAGCCTGTCCCTCATATGGCATTTGAAGATAGTTACAAGCATGGCTGTTCTTGGCTTTCAATTTCCAATAGTCCACTACTAACATTTTCATCACATCTTGTCATTTAAAATAAAAGATTGATTTTGTCTTTGTTTTTATTATTAAGATCCATTTTTAGCTCATCATCATCTCATTTCCGTCATGGAAGAAAGGCTGTCGACAAAAAAAGGTCACAGTTTTTGTCAATGAAATTAACTCTGACTGACTAGTACTGAGTTTTTGTTTTTTTAATGTGATTAGTGTGCATAATAGACCTTTGCTACATGTTATCAAACCTGCGTTGTTCTTCTTCTGACTTCGGTGTGTTCATGAGCTTTAAGTTGTAACGTGGAAACAACATGGACGCTCCAAATAAAATAATAATAAAAGAAGATGGGTTGTATTTTATTGTTCAGAGCGTTAAAACAAGACGTTGATAACAAAAAGCAAAAGAAACAGATCAAATGAGCCATGAAATATGATCGGGAACTCATTTTCCAGATTTTTGACACCACGTGAATGCAGCACAAGACTGTGGAGGTAACTTGGACTGCTGCTACTTCTCCCTCAAAGAAAGGGGGCTCTAGCTGTCAACCATGTATGTACTACAATGTAGTGTCACCTAGAGAACCTGACACCATATTAAGTATCAAAACTGAAAATGTTGGATACATTTACATATATCAACTCAAAGGAACTAATAATGTGAAAAGAATCGGTCCACCCATCACAGCCAGGTGTGCTTTGCATGCTGGAATGTATACAGTCAGCATAGCCAGCAGCTTACTAGAGGAAAATAGAGATCTGACCAACCAAAAGTTCACCAGCTCATCCACTGATCAGGATCAGAGCAAACAAAGTAGGGAAGAGGGAATGGGGCTGCAACTTCCAGAATATTATCAGTCATCTCACAAAAATAATCTATGAGGTGGAAGGTGATTCACAGTCCACTTAGAATATGAGTAGTTCATGAACTACTCATATTCTAAGTGTAGTCTAACACTTTGGCTATGGTTAGACGTCTACCAAATTTAAACTGACAGCCCGAATTCAGCCGTGATTTAGCCTAGACGTCAGGTCTTCATGTAGACAGCTATTGGATGTTTTTTAAACCAAAAAATGCTTGCTGGGTCATCATTGGTGGGATCAGGGTGCAGGTTGACAGCTGCTGACAGCCGATCTGGGGTTTTTCACAACTAATGTAACAACAAACACAGAATAAACACTGCACGCCCACATTTAATGCCAATCAGCTCTGAGAACACACAGCTGTCATTTCACATTCTCATCAGCCTTTGTCAAACCTGATGGTATGGGTCTACTGTATATATCAAGAGCGTAAACACAAAGAACAGCCTCCTATTATCATCTGAACAGGCACGTGAATGAGTCGGAGCCCTTTGTGTGTGTGTGTGTGCGTGCGTGCGTGGGTGTGTGTTAAAAAATAGATGATATAGCTGCAGATAGTGTGTGTAGACCACTGCTCTGTGCAGCGAAGCACCGCCCCACTCTGTGGAGCAACAAGGCAAATAAAAGTGAATTCTTAATCACACATGTACACACACACATACATATTCGCAGCAAATGAAACATTAGCCCTGGATGTATGTGTTGAGGTTTTGTGATTGATGGCGTAGCTCTGACGCACACAATTATTTGAAACAGACATGAAAGAAGGATTGAAGCCATACAATATTGAGGATCTTTACATTAGCATATAATCTGTTTTCACTAGTAGGGGTGAGCAATGTACGTGGTAATGACACTGACAATGTGTAGGAAACTATAATGTGATAAAGTGGTAATGGCCAGTGGAATTTAAGAGTGTGATGCAATGAGCCTCCACTCATACCAATAGATTTGTTTTTAAATGGAACATACGACTGATGTTAGACAACTGGTCACATTCACCCATTTTATCCTACTTAAATGTGTTTTTTCTTCACAAACTAAATTTATGAGGGGTCTGGGGTTTTAGTATGAGTCATGTTCAGATTGTGCCTTCATCTACAGAGAGAAAACACTTTTTGACCACAGACTCAAAATACCTTCATCTGAATGACTTTAAATATAGTTTTTACTAGAAAGATTTACTCAGTAGTGTACCCAGGTGACCAAGCTACCTGATTAGGGGCAAAATGACCAAATTAACAAAATCTGCAAGTCTACAAAATCAGGCTGGCAAAGCACACCACCTCTGAAACGCACCTAGTGTGGTCCAGAACAAAACTGAATAGCAGCCAGACTGCAATGAGAGCTGCCCCATATGAAAATGTCCCTCCCAGCTCCCCGACAGACAAGATGGCGGCAAAGATAACAAAAATGAGTGACTTACTCATGTCATATCGTGCCTAGCTTTAGTGGTTCTGGAATTAATCTGCAGATGCTTCAGTTAAAAATCAGACCAAACTTTTCTATGGATGTCAATTATTGAGCCACAACAGAGGCCAACAAGACGTTTGTATCAGACGGTAAGATTTGCTGTTTTGAGCTGAGCTGATCTGGAAAACTGGCAGCCCCCAAGTTAAGAGGACTGAGGAGTCAGCAGTCAGTGATGGTATACAATGGTCAAAAATAACTTAATAATAAGTTATGACTCAAAGCAACCACAAAGAGATCTTTGTATAGTCATAAATGTGCACAGAAAATATTAGGCTGATTGATCCAGTAGTTTGCATTAATAACTGTGGACTGAGATTAACACACTGAGACACACACCCAAACGCATGATCGTTTCCATAAAAACATATTATCTGTGTAATTTGCATCAAGGTTCATCAGTTTACAGAATGGTTTTAGAAATTGCTTCGAAAATTCTCACAGCTGCCTCAGGCTCTTTGTTCAAGTCTCCCATCAAAGTCATGGACAGCTTTGTTTTTTCAAGATAGGACTTTAGCATCAAACATTTTTGTGTCAATAGAACTACTCACTGCTAAACATCTGCAAATGTCTGACAGCAGGACTTCTGTCCCTGGGATGTGAAAATGCCTTTGTTTACTCCTGGTTGTGTAACAAGTGATAGCTGAACAGATAGCCTTACATGTGTAGCAATTCTGGAGCAGTGATAATGCTGATAATTAACATGATCACAAACATGCACCTCTTTATGAAAAGGAGACATTCATCAAGTTGAAACAAGCAATTTAACAAGTTTGTGCAGTTAAGAGGTTTTGATGTCTTGTATGAGCAAACTTCAGAAAAAGTAA